TGATTCCCTTTGATGTGCAGCATGTATTATGTGTACCAAATTTCAATTATATAACCATTTCAATAATGGCGGATGGATATTTATTTAGGGATGCTGTAATACACTTGTATTAATTGAAGATTATGGAGTCCAATTGTTTTCAAATTTAAGTTTGTAATCTCATAGTTACAAGCCCAATAATTTGAGGTCAGATTCAAAAATTTATGCACTATCCAAAATTAATATATACATCTTCTTCAGCATAGCCATATACTATACTCCGTCTTTAATTATTTATTTGGATATTCTATAAGGAAAATATTAAGGATATAATATGGTAATGTAAAAGTTTCATTCAAAAAAAAGGTGTAAGTAAACTATACGTAATAAATCACAAAATTTAATGATTAGTGTCATGTAGACATGTAATACAACAACTAAATTAAATAAAAATGTGGCTAGTGATTTTACACCAAATATATATATATATACATATATATATATATATAATATTGTTCAATGTTCATTTCATCCTGTATTTATATCAAAAGATAAAACTATATATAACGATCATTCTTAGGAAGTAAAAGTAATGAAACAAATTGGGGTTGGTTTTTGCATCCATAATTTGAACCTCGAGCATATGAATACTCATTCATACAACATAACTTTATTTATTCATTACAAATTAAACAACAATATCAATATCTCTCAATTCTGCATGAAAGAAGCACCCCCTATTTTTCAAAAACAAAAAAGAAAGAAATCACTAGGACAAGAAGAAATAATGCAGCTTTAAGAGTTCAATAGCTTGCACATTAAACCAAAACCCAAAAGAAGAAATGATCACATGCAATAAATATATTAACCTTCTAAAAATGCCATTTAACATAATGTACTTCAATGTTGCCTTCTATTTTCTTAGGTTTGCTTAGTAGCATGAAACCTTTTAATAAAGGCTGAAGCTTTCCAATCTATGCCTGGTTCAGCCACCCATATAAAGCCACCATCATCGGTCGTTCTTGACCGTGTAATACTCATCGCCTCATCCCCGGACTCATCCGATGTAGACATGTTGTGACTCCTCCCGATCCAACGACCTCTAAAGAAGTTAAAGAAGAAAAACAAACATGAATACTTAGCCCTCCCACGCCTATTGTTGCCCATATTACTAATTATAATCACTTATTAATCATAAAATTCTCTTCTTCTCTCGTATTTATACTAAGATCGACGAGTTTAAGTAACCCTTAAGAGAGTTAAGACCTCTAATACATACACAAGAAAGGAAGGAACATTTTGGGTTTTGGTCCTGGTGTCTACTAGTCTTATATAAAAGATAGGTTAAGCACTTTTTAAGGTGTAAGGACATTATTATTAAATAGTATTGGATGCCCTTAAGCTAAGTTTAAGCAGTAGAATCTTTTTTCTTGTTGACAAAGTTAATTATTAAGACCGATTATAGATGGCATAACTCAAAGGAAAGAGATAAAGATAGTCTTGTCGAGTGCTAGCCCACATGCATTTGGCCCAAATAGATCGTGGGTTTAATCTACTTGTTCTAACCCTTTATAGTTTATGACTTTATATGTACTACACTACTAAGTATTCAAGTTGAGGTCAGGCGAAATTTGATCATTAGCATATATTCAATTCAACTTATTTATACTTAGTTTAAAAAAATAAGTGTATTTAAGATACATATCATATCATATTATATCACTAATAAATAAAGTCGGTCTCGCAGTCAGGTCACGAGACAGCGACACTTGGCAATCCAGTTTTTCGCCTAGTGTCGCGCCACGTAGGAGATAAATAGGTATTATTGTGACACATGTACGTGATAGATGCTAAGTAAGCGATTTTTGGATAAATTTTTTAATATAAAATTATTGTATACAGTTTTATTATCGATAAAATTCTAATATTTCATATATACAAAATTAATCATAACTGTTAATAAATATCCTATAACTCAATTATATTTCCATCATTAAATTCATTTTAAAAGTTCTTTAAAATAAGATCCATTTATAATACTCCCTTCGTTAAATATTATCTGCAACTTTTGCCATTTTTGTCCGATCAAGGTTATGTACAACTATCTGTTTTGTTTCCTTTTTTAGTAAAAAAAAAACCCTTAAAATTACTTTTTACCCTCACTTTATATTTCTGATTTTTCTAATTGTTGCCCTTATGTTTGCTTAATCACATTAACATTAACATAATCTGATTACATTAACATAACAACTCCCTCCATTTGTTTTCTGATTCTCCTCACCTACTCACATTCAATTCCACTTCCCAACTGTCAACAATTAATGTGGCCTGGATTTCCCCTTTTGTTCATCAAAATTAAGAAGATGAACCCTAGTTCATCCTCTGCATCGTTCTGTTCGTATTCCTCTCTCCTCTTCATTCTTCTTCTTCTTCACCTTTCCTCTGTAGATCTGATAATCCAAAGTCAGATCTCCGTAAAACCGAGTCCCAAAAGACCATGGTTAACCTTGACCCTTTGCGTGATGCATACATAGCCACTAACGACAAGGGTGAGGAGAATTTGATTATCTCCCTCATTTACTACTTTGAGACCGGATCTCCTTTTCCTCGCCGGTTTTACGAATTCGGTGAGGTTGGTCCTTACTGTACTTCTGAAACCTACAAAGCTTTGGGCCAAGTCCTTCAGAGCGTGGAGGAGGAGGAGAAGAGAGAGGGGCAGGGTGAGTCAAAAGGAAAAAAAAAACCCTCGATTTCAGTGGTATGGCTGTAGATATGGTGTATGAAAGTGGTGAAGGAAGTTCTGTTGCAACCCACAACCCCCAAGCTAAGAGGGCAAGGCCACCAACAAAGATCCGGGCAACCAGAAAGGAGGCGAGGGTGGCCTTGAGGCGGATCTGTGGCATACCTGACGAGGACTGGGTGATTTTGTCCTCTGACGATGAGCCGGACATGGCGGCGACTTCTGCTACTCCTCCACCTAAGGTTACTGTTGGTGTCCTTCCAGTTGAGGCTGATGAAGCGAGCCGGATGAACCCTAAGGTTCAACCCTCCAAATGACAACTTGCGTTACGACTCCTAACCCTAACCCTATCATCTTTAATTTGTTAATTGAGTCCCTTTTTCTGTCATTATACATGCTGGTATGTTGGATATGTGTTCATGATTGTGTTCGTTGCCTTGATTTTTGATGGTGAATTTTTTAATTGTTGGCTACTGGTGGTTGATGATGTTGTTTGGTTGGTTGTTGGATCTGTGGTATTCACCATTTTTTTTGGAATTAATTTTGGCCCCTATTGTTATTATGTATTCCTTACTGTTGGATTTTGGTGTATTTTGCTGGGTTGTGTATACTATGTTCATATCTCAGTTGGTTGGTTTATTGTGGGTTGCTGTTGATAATTGGTGTTGGTTGAAGATTGATTGTGGTGTATTTTGGTGCCTTGGGTATACTATGTTCATACCTCATTTGCTTGGTTTATTGTGGTTTGCTGTTGATAATTGGTGTTGGTTAAAGATTGATTGTGGTGTATTTTGGTGCCTTGGGTATACTATGTTCATATCTCATTTGCTTGGTTTATTATGGTTTGCTATTGATAATTGGTGTTGGTTGAAGATTGAGTATGCTGTCTTTTTGCTAGGTTGAGTATACTATGATCATATCTGAGTTGCTTGGTTTATTGTGGGTTGCTATTGAGAACTGGTGTTGGTTGGAGATTGGTTATGCTGTCTTTTGCTTGGTTGTGTATACTATGTTAGCATCTGACTTGATTGGTTTATTGTGGGTTGCTGTTGAGAATTGGTGTTGGTTGAATAGTTGTTGTTTATCATGTTGGAAATGGTATTTTATAAGGGGAATTTGATTGATGAATGATGAGGCTAGTATGTAATATGGTTTGCAAGGGCTACATTTTCAGTCCCTATATGTGTTTTGAAAGAGGAGTCCCAATTGGTCTTCTTATGATGCACTCAAGTTGTGAGTCCCCTATCTAAGTTTTCTTAAAAATTGGGTGCTTATTTGTAATCCAAATGATGAAAGGACTCCATTGAATGTCACTTCACAGTAGAGTTTTGCTCACACAATTTCCTGGTTGAGATTGTTTCTTGTTTGAGGTACCTCTACTTTGAAGTGTTGTATTCAACAATGTGAAAACTCTATTGATGGATCACTTACCCACACATCAAAAGTCATTGTCATGTTCATTCAATTATAGGGGGTACAAAAATACTTTCATCTGACTGCCTTTCATGCTTGCATGATACTAATATCAACAAAATACACCTAACCACCTATTCTTGCACATAAACTTAAACAACCCTAAAAAGAAAAACAGAAAAAGCTAGATGGTTATGTGTGGCAGTCAGTGTTGTTCACTTTCCCTAATTTCAGTGGTTTTTTTGAGTCCCCTAGTCTGCATCAACCTCCATGTCTTCTAGTACACCTTGAGTACCTTGACTGGCTGGCCTAAACATGCTGTTTAGATATTCCACAGCATCCAACCCAACTTCCTTCCTCACTTGCACTTGATCTGGTAGAATTCCCAGATTTTCAAGTTTTTTTTGTTCATGTGTGGTATTTTGTACTTGTTACCACCTTGTGCCTTAAGAATTTTAATCATGCATCTTTGCAAAGTCACCCAAATGTACTTGTTCACTTGGGGCTTGAATGTGTTATAACACTCAAGCACTTTATCAACTAGCTCATCAAGGTCCTTAGGATAGGATTGATATTGCAAGGACTGCATTGACCTAAATAGCCCTAGATCCAACACATTTAGATCAGGTTACTGTGCTGGTTGGAAGACCAGTTGAATGTTGAACCCATTTGATGTGGTTGCTGCAATGAACTCTGCATCTTTAGGAACCTAGTGAGGCCTTGCATTGTCCCATTGAATGATGACATTTTTGGATAGACTTTCTAGCCATTTTGACTTAATTGCTGGAATGACTTTTGTTAATAGCATGTCCCTTATAACATCTCTGTTGACATTTTAGAGTGCCTTGGTTACTAATGTGCCTGCTGCTCAGTTTTTGCTTGATTTCTTTGCTAACTCTTTGACTGTGAATGGGAATATGGCATACTTCCCATCATGTATGAGTCCCCCACTTGTGTCATACAGTGGCTTCCCTATTAAGGCCATAAACATTGCCTTTAGCTTGAATCTCCTTGACTGTTGTGCCATATAAGGGTCTTCCTCACCTGGAAGGAGATAAAATCTTCTCTTGTCAGGATTGAGGTAAAACCACTTTTCATCTATGTGTATGACTTGATCCATTGCAACAAAAGTGGGGTCCCCTTCTGCTGTGACAGGGTTAATGTGTGACAGTACCCATTTGAGTCTAGCCACTTTGTGATCTGCTGTGAGAGCAGGTTTGTTGCTGCATGTATGTGTCCTGAGCCTCCCCTTTTTCTTCAAATTGTGAAGAGTTACATGTGAAATATTCAGGGTAGCTTTATAACTTCTCTCAGTTTGCCTCAGATACAGAGGAACTGACTGTAGGAATTCGTTTGAAAATTCCCTTGGCTTTGGACCAGTTCTCCCATACTTTTTAGTCCTGACATCTATCATATTCCCCTGTGTCATTTGCTTTTTAATGTCAGTGAAAACTCTACTGGTTGTTGACTTGTGAACTCTAAATTGGATTGATAAATGTTTCATGTGTCCCTTAGTTAACATGCCATCTTGCATTGTAACCAGCATTGCATCAACAATCTCTCTTTTCTTTTGCAAAGTTAGCTGTTTTCTACTAGCAGCTTGAGTCCCTTGCTCTGCCTCTTGTTGCATGTGCTGGTTTCCCTGACTGTGTTCTGTGCCCTGGTCCCACTGTCTGTTTGTTGTTGTTCTTCTTGCTGGTTTTCATTTTCTGATTCATATTGCTCAATATCCTCATCTTGCAATTCTTCTTGTTCATCATAATACATTTCTGCCATTGCTTCCACTGATAACAGTTGGTCCACATCTAAAAACAACTCTTCATAAAAATCTCCCATGTTTTCTTTTATGTATGTGTGTGTTCAGATCTAAGAAGATGAAAAGGGTTGGCTGTTGATTTTTTTTGGAAGAAGAAGCTACCCTATGTGGATATGAAGTCAGTGGAGGTTGAATGCTAATTATGGTGGAAGATGTGCAGCACTAATTGTAGTTCAGGGGATTTTTTTGTGAAGATATCAGATTAGGAAGTGCTCATATTTGTGTTTAAACAATGTCAGTTTTTGTGACAAACAATTGGATGTAAAAATTAAATGCTCTGCCACTTATGGAGGCTGGTTTTATACCCCTCATAAATGGTGTCTGGAAGCTCTTAATGCCTCTTATAAGAGGAATATTCTAAGCTTGAAATTTGGCTGAAATTTCCAATTTAATGAATTTCAAAATTTGGTGAAATTTTCGGTGAAAATATGGGAGGCAAACTACTTTTCCTCCACTTGCAGATTTCCCCCCAGAATTTACAAGTGGGGGTCCTACTTTCTCTCTCCTGTTTGTGTATAATTACTATTAAACAATTCCTCTAATCAATGCCCTTTAACTTTTGCATTGGCAACTGTAAACTTCAGTTTGGTTGCAGATAATATTTAACGGAGGGAGTAGTATCTTTAATCACAAACTTTTATACGTAGCTAGCCAAACCGTGTCACCAACTATTGCAAGAGTTTTTCGTTAGTGCTATAGGGGTTACTTGGTCAGTGCTATAGTGGTTACTCAATCAGTGTTATACATAGAGGTTACATAATCAATGTTAAAGGTTACTTAGTTAGTATTACACGGGTTACTCAGTCATTTTTATAGGAGTTACTTTGTCTGGCCAGATGGTGAGGTTAGCCGCATACAAAGTGTATTGTTATTTAACTTATTTAAAAAACATATTAATGAATCAGTAAAACAAAGTTTAATCAATTAAAATAATTTTAGTCTGGTAAAAATACTTTCAGTTCAGTGAGAATAATTTAAGTTTAATAAAAATAATTTCAAGTCAATAATAACATAGATATCTATTTAAAAACAAAACTTAAAAAGTATGGCTAAATATCCTACATTATTAGAAAAAATTATTTGACCATATTTAACATTCAAGTAAAAATGTTATCTTAAAATTTTATCAACCATCGGGGCATCGTTCGGGCACAAAACTAGTCACTAATATATAAAGTCAGTCTCACAGCTAGATCACGAAACAGAGACACTTGGCATTCCAATTTTTCCCCAAGTGTTGCGCCACGTAAGCAAAAAATAGATATTATTATGACACATATGATGCTAAATAAGTGATTTTTAGATTGATATTTTTAAGATAAAATTATTGTATAGAGTTTTATTATCGATAGAATTCTAATATTTCATATATACAAAATTAATCATAACTTTTAATAAATATCTTATAACTCTATTCTATTTCCATCATCAAATTGTTTTGAAAAGTTCTGCAAAATAAGATCCATTTATAATATATTTAATCACAAACTTTTATATGTAACTGGCTAAACCGTGTCATCAACTATTACAAGAGTTACTTCGTTAATGCTATAGGGTTTACTTGGTTAGTGTTATATATAGCGGTTACTCAATCAGTGTTATAGATAGGGGTTACTTAGTCAGTATTAGAGGTTACTCGATCAGTTAGTATTCACTACACGAAACCAGCAAATTGGCAACGGTTCAAACCCCCCCAAAGGCAACGGTTTTGAACCGTTGAATATTTGAGGGTTGCCAAATCCCAAAAAAATTGGCAACGGTTCAAAACCGTTGCCAACTCAAGCAATTGGCAACGATTAACCGTTGCCAATGGCGCGCCTTTTTTTTTTTTAAAACATTGGCAACGGTTAACCGTTGCCAATGACCTGTATTGTTTTTTTTTTGCTGCACTAATATTCACCTTTTTTTGTTTTTTTTGCTGCAATATTAATAATTATATTAATAATAATAATTATTATTATTATTATATTAATAATAATAATTATTATTAATATTATAATAGTAATAATAATAATAATAATAATAATTATTATTATTATTATTATTATTATTATTATTATTATATATGATAATAGTAGCAATAATTAGTAACATTAATAACAAAACATAAATAATTAATAATAACAATCGCAAGAGATGATATAAATTAGAAAAATGTTTCATGTATAGTACATAATTAATACGCTAAGCCTAGGATTGATGAAGAGATGATATACTACAAAAATGTATGACGATATTTACAAATTAAATGTGATGTAGGTCGCCAACATCTCCCGAATTACATGGAGTTCCTCGCTTGTGTATGGAAGTCCCGTTTGCCCCTTGCAAAACTTAGAATACACAAAACGTGAGTTAGTAGAAGTGAAATAATAATAATTGGGGTTAGTTATAGGTGACTAATGCTTGAGATTACAAGAAAAGAGCAAGTAAGAGGTTTTGGGATGCAATTTCAACCAAAATGGCTCAAGTAAGGCCATTTTGGCTACTAGGATGCCTATTTTCTATATTTCATGTCTATTGAACTCATAACTAGTTAAAACATGTCATTATCACTTAGTTATAGGTGACTAATGCTTGAGATTACAAGAAAAGAGCAAGTAAGAGGTTTTGGGACGCAATTTCAACCAAAATGGCTCAAGTAAGGCCATTTTGGCTACTAGGATGCCTATTTTCTATATTTCTTGTCTATTGAACTCATAACTAGTTAAAACATGTCATTATCACTTAGTTATAGGTGACTAATACTTGAGATTACAAGAAAAGAGCAAGTAAGTGATTTTGGGACGCAATTTCAACCAAAATGGCTCAAGTAAGGCCATTTTGGCTACTAGGATGCCTATTTTCTATATTTCTTGTCTATTGAACTCATAACTAGTTAAAACATGTCATTATCACTAATATATAGGTGACTAATGCTTGAGATTACAAGAAAAGAGCAAGTAAGAGGTTTTGGGACGCAATTTCAACCAAAATGGCTTAAGTAAGGCCATTTTGGCTACTAGGATGCATATTTTCTATATTTCTTGTCTATTGAACTCATAACTAGTTAAAACATGTCATTATCACTTAGTTATAGGTGAATAATGCTTGAGATTACAAGAAAAGAGCAAGTAAGAGGTTTTGGGACGCAATTTCAACCAAAATGGCTCAAGTAAGGCCATTTTGGCTACTAGGATGCCTATTTTCTACAATTCATGTCTATTGAACTCATAACTAGTTAAAACATGTCATCATCACTTAGTTATAGGTGACTAATTCTTGATATTACAAGAAAAGAGCAAGTAAGAGGTTTTGGGACGCAATTTCAACCAAAATGCCTCAAGTAAGGCCATTTTGGCTACTAGGATGCCTATTTTCTACAATTCATGTTTATTGAACTCATAACTAGTTAAAAAATGTCATTATCACATAGTTATAGGTGACTAATGCTTGAGATTACAAGAAAAGAGCAAGTAAGAGGTTTTGGGACGCAATTTCAACCAAAATGGCTTAAGTAAGGCCATTTTGGCTACTAGGATGCCTATTTTCTATATTTCATGTCTGTTGAACTCATAACTAGTTAAAACATGTCATTATCACTTAGTTATAGTTTACTAATGCTTGAGATTACAAGAAAAGAGCAAGTAAGAGGTTTTGGGACGCAATTTTAACCAAAATGGCTCAAGTAAGGCCATTTTGGCTACTAGGATGCGTATTTTCTATATTTCTTGTCTATTGAACTCATAACTAGTTAAAAAATGTCATTATCACTTAGTTATAGGTGACTAATGCTTGAGATTACAAGAAAAGAGCAAGTAAGAGGTTTTGGGACGCAATTTCAACCAAAATGGCTCAAGTAAGGCCATTTTGGCTACTAGGATGCCTATTTTCTATATTTCTTGTCTATTGAACTCATAAGTAGCTAAAACATGTCATTATCACTTATTTATAGGTGACTAATTCTTGATATTACAAGAAAAGAGCAAGTAAGTGGTTTTGGGACGCAATTTCAACCAAAATGGCTCAAGTAAGGCCATTTTGGCTACTAGGATGCGTATTTTCTACAATTCATGTCTATTGAACTCATAACTAGTTAAAACATGTCATTATCACTTAGTTATAGTTGAATAATGCTTTATATTACAAGAAAAGAGCAAGTAAGAGGTTTTGGGAAGCAATTTCAACCAAAATGGCTCAAGTAAGGCCATTTTGGCTAATAGGATGCCTATTTTCTATATTTCTTGTCTATTGAACTCATAACTAGTTAAAACATGTCATTATCACTTAGTTATAGGTTACTAATGCTTGAGATTACAATAAAAGAGCAAGTAAGTGGTTTTGGGACGCAATTTCAACCAAAATGGCTCAAGTAAGGCCATTTTGGCTACTAGGATGCCTATTTTCTATATTTTTTGTCTATTGAACTCATAACTAGTTAAAACATGTCATTATCACTTATTTATAGGTGACTAATGCTTGAGATTACAAGAAAAGAGCAAGTAAGTGGTTTTGGGACGCAATTTCAACCAAAATGGCTCAAGTAAGACCATTTTGGCTACTAGGTTGCCTATTTTCTATATTTTTTGTCAATTGAACTCATAACTAGTTAAAAAATGTCATTATCACTTAATTATAGGTGACTAATGCTTGATATTACAAGAAAAGAGCAAGTAAGTGGTTTTGGGACGCAATTTCAACCAAAATGGCTCAAGTAAGGCCATTTTGGCTACTAGGATGCCTATTTTCTACAATTCATGTCTATTGAACTCATAACTAGTTAAAACATGTCATTATCACTTAGTTATAGGTGACTAATGCTTCAGATTACAAGAAAAGAGCAAGTAAGAGGTTTTGGGACGCAATTTCAACCATAATGGCTCAAGTAAGGTCATTTTGGCTACTAGGATGCCTATTTTCTACAATTCATGTCTATTGAACTCATAACTAGTTAAAACATGTCATTATCACTTAGTTATAGGTGACTAATGCTTGAGATTACAAGAAAAGAGCAAATAAGAGGTTTTGGGACGCAATTTCAACCAAAATGGCATACCTCTTCAAGCTGACGTGTGTCTGTACAATGACTCATCACTATGTCATACATGAATCTCATCACGTATAGGCCACAGTCAACTCCGTTTTCCTGTTGTGGGCACTAGCATGAGGAACAAAGCATATGAATCAAAATGCATAGCAAATAAGCAACATCTTAAGCATTGTAAAGTAATAAAATCACAACATCATGGGTGAATTACCTTGGGTGCTTTCCATGTAGGAACTCGAGGAGATCGAGGATTTATCTTCTTCATGGTACTACAAAAAATCAAAGTAATAAGTTCAAATTTGACGTTTATAATCAATGCATATGAGTTCAGATATGAAAATGAATAACAAGAAGTGAAACAAACTGGATGCTTACTTTTGCAGTATGGACCTCACGAGGCGCTTTCTTACTTGAGGTAATCGAGCAGAATTAAAGTAGAAGATTGTGTTACTGGAAACACAAATCACAAGTAGGGTCCAATGATAACTACACACGAGACAAACAAATCAATAGTTAGCCTTTTACAACAAATAAACTGGGAAAACAAATAAACTTGACTAGCATAATCAGACGTACTCCTCATAGTATGGGACGAATATAAACTTGTCTCCTGCACTCACTGATTTCCTGATACCCCTTTCAGCATAGTACAACACGTCAGCTGAGTTGCCTAAGATTCTAGCAGTGGACATCTGCTCAGGGCACAACCACCCAACTTGACAAGGAGATTCAAGCTCCCATATTTGCTCCTGGAGTGCTCTGCATGCATGATAACACAATGTTAATCGAAAACCAAACGACAAACACCACTGAACTGAATAACATAAATTGAGTACCAGTTGAATTACCTCATGGATATTTGAATGAGGGAAATGTTAAGCATTGCACCACTTAGAAATTCCTTCACATCTTCTTTGAATAGCCATGCCGTTGCATCATCATCGTAGTGGAACATTTCCTTAGGAAGTTGAATTTGGATGGGGCTGTCATTAGGCAACACGCAAACACGGTTGTGCAAATAAGCTAACTCTTGAGATAGCGATTGAAGCACTGTGTCTTCAACTAATGGAGTAGCTTGCGTAGCTGAGCCTCGTGAAGGGCTCTTCAACGACGCCTTTCCACTCACCGAGCCATGTTCACTTCTGTTCTTTGGCCCCTCCATCCTCTTCTTTGGCGTTTGGCTTTTCCTCGATGGCTAATAAGTATGATCACACAAATGGTTAGAAAAGATTTCCATCCAACACTTAGGAAGAAAGGATTAAAGCGTGAAATCTAAATCTTAATTACCTGGTTCATCAACCGTATCCAAGCAGATGGCCATTGCACAAAACTACCTTTTGCTGCCCAGAGTGTAGTGAACTCATCCTCCTCCACGGGCACAGGTATTAAAAGGTCCTTGGACCCGGGAACCACAGAATGGATCCCAACAGAATAATGCTCAGGCAGAAGAGGTCGAAGATGGACCGTACCTTGTTCGGCCGGTTGTGCACTACCATAGGCAACAACATGCAAAGGTCCATCATATGATTCGCCCGGGTGAAGAATTTCACAACGGGTCTCTTCCTGCACCAATTACGAAGATACTTCATTTACATATTCATAACTAAGTATCTTAGGTGTAATATAGGAGTAAAATCACGGAAAATGGGCAAGTTAGAACTCATTTAGGCCATTTCGAGCTGTAAATACTGTAAATGAACCTTAAACTTGTGAAATTGCTTTTTTAAGGTCGTTTCAAGCCATAAATATTCATAACTAAGTATCTTAGGTGTAATATAGGACTTAAATCAAGCATTGAGCTAAAATCACGGAAAATGGGCAAGTTAGAACTCATTTAGGCCATTTCGAGCCGTAAATACTGTAAATGAACCTCACACTTGTGAAATTGCTTTTTTAAGGTCGTTTCAAGCCATAAATATTCATAACTAAGTATCTTAGGTGTAATATAGGACTTAAATCAAGCATTGAGCTAAAATCACGGAAAATGGGCAAGTTAGAACTCATTTAGGCCATTTCGAGCCGTAAATACTGTAAATGAACCTCACACTTGTGAAATTGCTTTTTTAAGGTTGTTTCAAGCATTACATATTCATCACTAAGTATCTTAGGTGCTAGTTAAAAAAAAAAAAAAAAAAAAAAAAACCAAAACGAGTGCAAAAAAAAAAAAAAAAAAAAACCCGAGCGCGAAGGGCAGCAGCTGCAGGCTGCACAGCTGCTGCGAGCCTGCACAGCGCTGCATAGCTGCTGCAGCCCCTCCGGCAGCCTCTCCTACCTTCTCCGCTTCCCAATGAGAAAGAGAAGGAGAAGGAGAAGGAAAAAGAGAAGGAGAAGAAAGAGAAGGAGGAGGAGGAGAAGGAGAAGGAGAAAGAGAAGGAGAAGGAGAAGAATGAGAAGGAGGAGGAGGAGGAGAAGAAGAAGGAGAAGGAGAAGGAGAAAGAGAAGGAGGAGAAGGAGGAGGAGAAGAAGAAGGAGAAGGAGAAGGAGAAAGAGAAGGAGGAGGAGAAGGAGGAGAATGAGGAGAAGGAGAAGGAAGAGGAGAATGAGGAGAATGAGAAGGAAGATCAAACAACAACAACACATGACATCAACAAAGCATACTGACAACACAACACAGCGAACTTGACCATTTCACAGCCAACTTAACCATTTCACAACACAATCCAAAAACAAATATCATTATCCAAACAAGTAAGCACAAAATCACCTGTAGAATAGGAAAGTGATGAGGTGTCGGAGTATCAAGCCCCCTTGAGTTCGCATGTGAAGGAGTATCAATCTGCAATAGTGTATTGATAGTGAAACATTAATTAGAACCGTACCCACGTAACTCAACATATCAAAACTTATAGAGTTGAATTCTAATCATTTACCTCTTGTTCTCCTTCTCTTCGTGGGTGGCTACTTGCGTCGGCCGGCGGTGTTGTCTAGGAAAAGGGCAAGGTCGGCAAATTCATTTGCTTTGCCCATGCATTGAACTCTTCGCGCATCTCATTGCGCACTTGTTCTTTAATTGATGCCACTGTGGCATCGAAGTTCTGTGGCGAGTTCACACTTGCTCGGGATCTTCCAGATTTGGTATATTCGGGACCCATTACCTTCTCCCATCCTAGAAAGCTTCCCCCAGCAACTAATACCCGTCCCGGATGGTAGGGCTTTCCCATAGCCAAGGTGAAGGGGTCATTCTCTACCGTCGGGACGATCTTGCCTTCAACAAGCTCTCCGGTGTACTCAAGCTGTAGCAAAAACAAAATGGCAACATGAAGTCAGTGTTTATATAAAGTGATATACATGAAAATTGATAATCTAGTTCACTAGTTCATAGTTTCTTACTAGCTTATCTGTCATTTCTTTGGTTTCCGGAGCCTTGATGGACCATTTTCCGGTCTTCTTGTCCCACGAATGCATAGAGCAAAAGAAATCCCCAGCACGACTCGCCAAAGTACTGGTCGTGGAGTCAGACGACGCTGTGGAGGACCCTAGAAGCGCAGTGGGGTATACTCCTTCACTCACCCACGTATCCCTCCATTCATCATACGTCATTGCTCCCATATGATGGTGGTATTTCTTTTGCAATGCATTCCTGGAATTCTGCTCCCTCATTTCCTACATAAAAAGATATATATGTTAGTTTCATTACTAATAAAAAAGACGATAAATTACAACACAATTTTCATCAGAGTTCTTTAAACTTACAATTTCTTCTTTTTTACATTTTTGATGAACGAAAGCCTCCCAATCATCCTTCGATATGCTAGGCCATATTTTCCAAGGGAGTTTCTCTTCATCGATGACATCATCATCACTGCCACCTCCTTTCTTGTTCTTTGGTTTCCTTACAAGTTTCTTTGTGATAAACCGACGAACTAAGTTACACTTGAAGCTTCTGAATCTTGCCGCAAGTAAGGATTCAAACACCCTTCGCTTGGCGTACTCATTTGGAATGTTAAATAGACTTTGCAAGCACAAATAACAAACATTATTGGTTTTCCCATAACATAACAATAAATTGAAATTGTTTATAAATAATCACATCAAATCAAACTTACCCTGGTATCATTCCAAAACGTGTCAATCAAGCCTGTAGGTACGTCGCTCATACGAAGCGTAATGGGGATTTTGCGTGCACAAATCCCAACTTGACCAGCATACTGACGACGCCATTTACCTGAGGGTTGCCCTACCCTGTCATACTCCAACACCATAGGACCGACAGGTTTCTTGAAAGATGTCTTCGGACCCCTCTGCTTTTTCTTCGCTGGTGCCTGCACCCCCGCTCCACTTTGATCCTCACGAAATGGCTCCACAATGGCATTATCGATTGGAGGCGCTTGCTCAGCTGCAATTTCAACGTCATCTATCATTCTCTCCAATACATCTTGCGCCTGATCTTCTGGCTCACCCAAATCAGTTTCCTTGTTCACATCATACGGCTGGTCCCCATCATTAGATGAATCATCTGAGTTAGATTCAACATCCTCAACTCGAACACTGAATCGATCGTCCGCCATTAGATGTTAAAACCTGTCATTACAAACATAACACGTTATTAGCTGCTGAATTGTAAGGTAAACTTATAATCATATATAAATTGCTGAATTATAATACAAATAAACTCTGAAAATGGTGATGCATGTTACTTTATTCATTTAAAAGAATATAAGAAAAATGGGCAAGTAATTCAACAATTTCATTCATTTTCACCTAAAATGTGATTTTTTTATTCTTTCTACGCCTGCAATTCAAACTAACAGAAAATATACAGTACCTCAATCTAATATTCCTTCATCGTGGTCGGATCTCATGTAATTGGCTTGGTCGTCTATCTCATTTGGCACAGCAGGTCTAGGAACGGTGAAAGGTGCTGAGTCATCAAAGGCATCATATTCTTCCTCATCCTCGACATCTCCAACGCCAAGGATTCTTCTTTTGCCGGCTAGCACAATAGACCATTTTGAGTCGGCAGGGTCAGATACGTAAAACACCTGCTTAGCTTGAGATGCAAGGATGAATGGTTCCACACTATCATTCAGGTTGCCAAGATCTACAAGAGTAAAGTCATCAAATTTGACGTTACGCCTGATATTATCAACCCACTTACACCGGAAAAGAGCAATCGTGAAGTCATAATAATCAAGCTCCCATATTTCTTGAATTCGACCGTAGTATGTCAACTCTGCATCAACGGGTGATTTATCCTTAGCACTTGCAAACTCCCTTGACGATTCCACAACCGTTACACCACTGTTTTGGGTCGAGGACGATTTCAAATCTTGACGCTCAGTCCAAAATGTGTACCCATTTATGTCATATCCCTCAAATGAGCGAACATCATCCCTAGGACCATAAGCAAGCCACCTTACTGTAGCTGTGACACTCTCATCCATTCCACCCATCACTCGATCACGAAACCAACTCACAAACTTTTTATTG